TTTAAAAGTGATGTATTTTTGTACATTAAATGATTATTTTGCATTTGTCGAGTGTCACCATAAAATCTAATCAATTATAGTAGCTTCTTTTCCCCACTATCGGTTTCTAATGTTTGAAATCATTGTGGAGTACTTTCAGAATTTTGCAAATGAAGTTATTCTTTTGTCAGAGTTAGAAAGGAACTATTAGCTCATCAGCTCGCTCCTATGATCCATAGGGGTGAGACGTCAGGACAGGGATGAGTAGTTGTTTTGATATAAAACATTTGGTTCGCCCCTTGTAAGAATCCCAGCTTACTTAACTGTATAGACCCATTAATGAGCAGAGAAGGGCTAGTAGTTGAAACAGCTGCACCCCTACCTCTGATCTGGAAAACAAAGAATTCCATTTCAGGGTGTTAAATAATAAAAGACTCAAATGCTTAGCTGGAGTTAACTGGACTTAGATAGTCATTTAGAGTTCCATTCACCAAAGTGTATTTTCTTGCTTTCTTCCTATAATCACTGGGGACAAAATACCATAATGTTTAAAATAGTCAACATGTACTTAAAAAGACTGTTAGGAGGCAGAGCCATGAAGCAGATTATTATTGTCTTCTTCCGTTGGCTCTTTTGTTCTATTTGTATGTGAGAAAGATGTTTTATTACAAATTCATCTTGTAATAAACGATGAAGACAAATGAAGTGATAGGATAAGATAATAATAGTAACATTTAATGAGCACTTCTAAGTGCCAGATTTTGTTACAAGCACTTTCTCTACATTATATAATTTAATCCTCACAATCTTATGATGTTGGTAGTGTTTGTTATTATCCCCATTTTACAGATGAGGAAACTAAAACCAAGGTCCTGAATAACTTGGCAAGGATCACAAAGCCAGAAAGTGACAGGAATTTGAACCCAAGAAGTCTTGACGCTGGAGCCTGCCCGTTTACTCACTGTGTTCTACTGCCTCCTTGAGATAATCAGGATGCTCTGTTATTGGTTACATACCATGTTACTGGGGACACTATACAGTGTCCCCAGCACCTTGTAAGATTTCAATAAAGTTGGTGAATACTTTGTTTCTTGGATATAGAGGTAAAGAAGCTCCAGAAGGGTTATTTAATAGAAGAAAGGATTAATTCCTGGTTACCAGGAAGATAACTCTTCCAGTCCTGCCTGTTACATTTTCAAAGGATCACTGCACCTGTCACTGGTTCCCCACGAGGTGGACAGAGGCCCCTCCCCTGCCAGCCTCCCGCTAGTATACTCAGTTACCCATATCGGAGATTTCACCAGCCAACCCCTGTCCCACCCTCCTGGGCTTTGGGGAAATTAAAAGGAGCATCTCATGAATAAGTCAGGGGCTTCGGGCTTACAGGATTATATAATAAGCAATAAGTGCTCAACAAACTAAGTGTTAGGAACAAAAGTGAATGTTTATGTTGGGAAGGGGTGGTTGTCAGAAACATTTATGGCTTGTTTCCTCCAAATGGTGTAGATGGACTTTTCTTGTAAGAATAGTCACTTTTTTGTTCTTCGTGTGCAGCTAGATTACTGCAGTTCTCAGACTGCACCCAGAGGGATGACTTGGCTTTGTGAAGCGACCAACCTCACAGTAGTCCTCTTGATGAGATCTTGCTTTGCTTTTGGGGATGGTAGCTGGTTGTCTAACTCTTTTTGAGTTGCTTCAGTTGGAGACTGGCCACAAGAAAAGAAGCCTGAGGATGCTGACTTATACATAGTTTTCAGAATTATTCAGAAGTGGGTTAGGACCATTTCTTTATTCCAGAGTTTTCCAATGGGTGTGTTACTAGGGGAGAAAATTCCCATGTTCAAGGAGGTTTAGAAAATGCTGAGTTAAAAGAGTAGAACATTTTTCTTCAGGATTCTCAGAGCCTTTAACATGGTAATGGAGATTATTAATCTACAAGAGGACAATTGAGTACCTGGCATCTCCCAAAACCAAAGAATTCCTGTCTGTCAGAATATATTCTGGGACCAGTGTTTTTTAGAAGTACTTTAAAAAACCCGTTGCCATAGAGTTGATTCCGACTCAGCGACCCTATAGGACAGAGTAGAACTGTCCTATAGGGTTTCCAAGGAGCAGCTGGTGGATTCGAACTGCCTACGTTTTGGTTAGCAGCTGAGCTCTTCACTGCGCCACCAAGTACGCAGTGAGTGAGAATATTGGCAATGAATTCTGACTATAAAACCCAGCTCTGCCACTACTCGCTGTGGTCTCGAACACAGTACTTAACCTCTCTTTACCTAAGTCTCCTCATCTGCAAAATAGAGACAATAATAATACTTACTTCATAGGGTTGTGAGGATTAAACGAGTCTGTCTACCTGTGTGGAGCCCTGGCAGCACAGTGGTTAAGCATTTGGCTGCTAACCAAAAGGTCGGTAGTTCACCAAACACTCAGAAACCCTATGGAGCAGTTCAACTCCGTCCTATAGGGTCGCTATGAGTCGGAATGGACTCGACAGCAACAGGTATTTACCTATCCACTTAGAACGGTGTCTGGCACGTCACTAAGTGTAATATGTGTTAGCTAGGGTTATTATTAGGGGCCCTAATGGCACAATGGTTAAACACGTAAGTTGCTAATAGAAAGATTAACCCATTGCCGTCAAGTTGATTCCGACTCATAGCGACCCTATATGACAGTAGAACTGCCCCATAGGGTTTCCAAGGCTGTAAATCTTTACAGAAGCCGATGGCCAGAGCTTTCTCTGAGGAGTGACTTGTGGGTTTCAACTGCTAACCTTTCGTTTAGCAGCCAAGTGCTTAACCACTGTGCCACCAGGGCTCCTTCCTATAAAGATTACAGCCCAGGAAAGCCCATGGGCCGTTCTACTCTGTCCTTTAGGGTCTCTATGAGTCGGCATCAACTTGATGGCACACAACAACATTTTAGAAAGTTCCTAGTGACTTTTTTTGTAATAAAAGGAACATCTGAACTAGGAATAATATAGAGGCTATGAATTTGGGGGCAAACTCCACAGTTTCCAATTTAAATCATCCTACTAGTCAGTATGGGCACAGAGTCATGCAGAGATGAAAATGCTGACTGAGTAACTAGAGGTTAAAGAAAAAGGGAAAATTGAGCAGTGGCAGGAATTATTCTTGTATTCATCTGACTTGGACTAAGTTGAAATAGAAAAAGTAAAGTTATGCATAGTGAGTAACAATAGATATCAAACACTTAAAATTCCAGTTTCCTGGATGTATGCTATGGAAAGAATGAAGGTGGGTGATAAGCTCTAGCCTAGGAGGAAGGTGAAGAGAGAGCCGTATGAAGAAGTGGCTTAGGCAGCAAATGAAGCTAGCCATTCAAACAGTAAAACAAAGAAGTACTCCTAACTCACCAGGTGAAAGATGTAGAGCTCTTGTTTTCCAGCAGTTCACAGTCAAACAAAGACTAGATTGCAAACAATCAGTAAAGATAAGCACTAGGACAGAGATTAGTGACAGTGTTGTGGAATCCCAGAAAATGATAAGATTAAAAAAGTCGGATATAAATCTTAGATTGGAAGATGGTAATGTTAAAGAAGTGGGATGGAAATCTCAGGTTGATAGAATGTCTTTAAGGCTGGCCTGGCCCTGAATAGTCTGTACATTATCTTGGCATAGATGCGCGCGCGCGTGTGTGCGTGTGCGTGTGTGTGTGTGTGTGTGTGTGTGTGTGTGTGTTTGTGTGTGTACACATACAGGAGTGAAGACTCCCATTGGGTCATTCCACTGGGGAGGCAGTAAGTGAGCCACGCTAAGTAAAAACGGGAGGCTTGATAGTTGTCCTTCAACAGGCTGGTCCAAAATGACTATATAAAGTAAATACCGTAAATCACTGTTGTCAGGGCGCACACTCCACCTCCTCCCTCCCTTCCCCACAGCCGTCCACATTTCCACACCCCCTCAACGGTTCGGGGAGAGCTCGTGGTCTAAGTAAACGGGAAGACTTCTGACTGTAATCCTAGCACGTCACTTTGTTGAAGGCAAACACGTGGTTCAGAGAGAACTTATAAATCTCTCCTCCCCAGCAAGATCGTGATGTTATCTGCTGGCAGCAGAAGCTTCGCTCCGAGCGGAGCTCCAGAGGCTCCCAACCAGAGAGGGAGGGAGAGACAGACAGAGAGCTCCCAACGAGACAGGGAGAGAGAGAGAGACAGAGAGAGAGCTCCCAACGAGAGAGAGAGAGAGAGAGAGAGAGAGAGAGAGAGAAGCGCAAGTGAAAAGAGACGGGGGAAAGGGATGGGGGACATAGCATAACGGTCTAGGGAGTTATTCCGGTCAAAAACCGAGGGGCTGCCTGGCTGCAGAAAGCAGGAGAAAAAGGAGGGGTCTATTTCAGAAGGGTGGCAAGTGCCTACGTACCCCAAGCGAGAGGGTCCAAGTGGGTGAGAGACCAGGAGAAGCTGGGAAAGGACATTCGTCCAAGGCAGCCCCTGCGCGACCCCCTTAGGAAATAAACTCCCCAGGCAGCGCGACCCGGGATCGCCGCTGCGGTCCGCAGGGGGTGAAAGCTGCCGCGGCGGCGGCTGGTCGTCTGTTGCCGGGTTGGCGTTTGGAGCGAGAGGAGGAGAAGGAGGAGCAGGAGAGAGCTGGAGGCTGGACGTGTTTGCAAGCGGCGGCGGCAGCAACGAGGAGCAGCCAGGCGGGTCGCTGCGCGCCGGCCGGGGCGCAGGCCACAGCGCGGCTCCGGGAGCAAGATCCTCGCGGCCTTTGCGGCCTCTGCGGTCCCTGCAGGAGCCGACCGAGTCCCGAGCGCCGCGCGGAGCGCAACCGCCTCACCGCGGCGTGCCGGGCTCGCCCCCAGCGCGCGCACACGCGCGCGCGCTCCCACGCACACACACACACACGCACACACACACACGTGCGCTCCTCCGCTCCCGAGCTGCTGCTCCTGCTCTCAGCGCCGCAGTGGAAGGCTGGGCCGAACCGCTCCTTCTCTAAATACATAAATTACAGCCCCGGCCAGCATCCGCGGCCCCCGTCCCAGCCCTGCCGGCGCCCTCCCGTCAGCTCGCCGGCTGCCAGCCCCGGGACCTTTTCATCTCTTCCCTTTTGGCCGGAGGAGCCGAGTTCAGATCCGCCACTCCGCACGGAGACTGACACAGTGAACTCCGTTTCCTTCTCTTAAATTTATTCCTGCTGCTGCATAGCCCCATCTCTTTTTTCCTCCCGCTTGTTACTCCAAGAAAACTTTTTCTTACTCCCAAAAGTCAGTTTCCCCCTGCCCATCCAGTACTAATATTTACACTTGGGGAACGATTCGCATTTTCTTTCTTTCTTTCTTTTTTTTTTTTAAGGAATTCAAGCAAGAGATATTTTTCTATTGAGAATCGACTCTCAATTGATGGCAAAAGTTTCGCATTAAAAAAAAAAACTCTACCTGATCTATACTTTGAGAATTGTCACTTTCTTTTTAATTTTTTTTTTTTTTTTGTTTTTACGTTTTCCACCTTTTTTGCAAAAATGCACTACTGTGTGCTGAGCGCTTTTCTGGTGCTGCATCTGGTCACGGTGGCGCTGAGCCTGTCTACCTGCAGCACGCTCGATATGGACCAGTTTATGCGCAAGAGGATCGAGGCGATCCGCGGGCAGATCCTCAGCAAGCTGAAGCTCACCAGCCCCCCAGAAGACTATCCGGAGCCCGACGAAGTCCCCCCTGAGGTGATTTCCATCTACAACAGCACCAGGGACTTGCTCCAGGAGAAAGCGAGCCGGCGAGCTGCCGCCTGCGAGCGCGAGAGGAGCGACGAGGAGTACTACGCCAAGGAGGTTTACAAAATCGACATGCCGCCCTTCTTCCCCTCCGAAAGTAAGTGCTCTCTTTTGCTTCCATCCCCGGAGGTATGGCTCTGCCCCGGGCTCTCAAAACCGCAGCCACTCTGGGGATCGCCCTTCCCTCTCCGGGTCCCCGTTGGCGCTCGTCCCCTTCTCCAGTCCTTCTTCCCAGCCACCTCCTTTCCAGCTGTGCGTTTGAGAACATTAGGCTTCAAAACTTGAACTTTCTACTTTATTTTCTCCATCCTCCCTACCCCTCAACGCCTCGGTAAGAAGGCGTCATTCTCTCTCTCTCTCTTTTTTCTCTTCCTCCGGTATTCTTGACTCGGCCACCAGCGAGGAGTCAGCCCTCCTCCGTCAAACTCGAGGCGGTCCCTGGGGCAGAGTTAAACTGGGAAATCTTCGTGGATTTGTTTTCTTTGCGCAAACTGGCGTGGAGCCCGCTGAACTGGTGCACGAAGGGTTAAAAAAAGTGGCTCAAAACCGGTGCAGGAAGGGTTAAAAAAAAAGTAGCTCTCCCAAGGCCCCCCTTTTCCATGTCGACCCCCCTACCTCGTACCCCTAAACCTTCGCTCTTGTCCAAAAACTCCCCTAAAAATGTCAATATCGTCAAGACAAAACCCGGTTAAGGAGACCCCCTCGGGAAAACCCACCTTGACACCCTGAACCCTTGATTCATCTGTTGCCATTGGTAGGTGTTTACATTCCCCAAAGGCCAGTTCTTGCAACCACTTCCCCCTTTGCCTTCTTCACCTGGGGTGGTAGAAAGGACAGCTTCGTTTCTGCCTGTGTATAAAAGGTTTTTTTTTTCCTTTCAACTTCACGTTTTTCTTTTTAGAGTCCACTCAGACCTGCCTTCTTAAGATCGCCTTTGACAGTACCATTTTGATTACAGCTTAGCAGATAACTTTTCTTAGGGTGGATCCTTTATCTGTTTCAGTCCTGAGCCGAGGGCTCCCTGCCCTTCCCCTGGCTTCCTGTGGCTCCGTTGTTGCATCCCTCACTCCCAGAGTATAGGATGCAGCTCTGTTACCAGCTTCTCTGAGGGCAGAGTCCGCAAAACCAGCTGGCATACAGTAGCAATGGAAGTGAAATGATTTATTGTAGAGTTCTTTGGGGGAGAAGGGAAGTGGGTAGTAGGTTTGGAATTATCTCAAAATCCTTAAAAAAGAAGAAGAAGCATTTAGTGATACCTGAGAGGGTTAAACACCAGGAAGAAGAAAAAGAAAAGGGGGGGGGACAGCTTCCCCATCTCTGTATTCCACATCCCGAGCCCCACACTTTTCATTGGTTGCCATTTCTCTCCTCCCCTTCCCATGCCCTATATACTTGTTGGCTGCATTTGCAGTCTCTGTGTCTCGCCTAAATAGATAATACAGCCATCTTGGTAATTTTATCCTAGAGGTTCTAATTGCAGGGTGGTGCTTTTCTTTTTTAATATTTATTTTTAGTTTGACAAGTTGTAACTCTGTGACTTGCCATGTCTTGTACTTGATGGTCTCAGAATGTCAGCCGATGTGTCTAAACTCCAGTCTTCCTGGCTACCTTTCTTTTTGCTGCAGCTTCTCTTATTGTTCAATAGCAGAGCAGATATAGGAGATGCTGGCAAGCAGGGCAATTTTATTATTGTAATTATGGCACCATCCAAAACAGCGGTGATAAATACACTCCACCCTAGTTATTCCCCCTGGGGAAGTAAGGCTTTCTACTTGGGGTGGAGCCAAAGAGATATTAGGAAAGAAAGTTCATTGAAATTAGTCCAGAACCATTGAGAACGAGCAAGGAGTTGAGTCAGTTCGCTTTCTCTAGCACGTGTATCGGTTCTGCTGGTATTCGGGCAGATAGGCAAGTGTGTTATGGGAAACCTGAACAACTTATCCCTTCCGTGTTTACTGGCCAAAGCTCGAATGAACGGCCAGTGTTTTTATAACAGAGAGAGGAGACCTGACCTCATCATTATATAGTGTGGAGAGAGCGAGTTCCCAAAGAGAGCATTCATTCTTTGTTCTCTGAGGCACGTTTCAGTCCAAGGAGCTGAGATGATCCAACCCTAGGGTCATGGTCATCACCAAATTAGAAAAATTCTCGGATTCTTAGGAGGACTTCAAAGTATGGCGTTTAAGATCCTCTCCATCCACCCCAAGCCCCCACATAAAAGAAAAACTCTGTTTAAGTCCAGTATAAAAAATATAAGTATGTATATTATCAGTTTTGATACAAAGAATACGGGCTCCTTAGAGTGTGCATTGGAAGTTTAGGAGAGAAAGCCATATTAATAACAGATTTGATTCTACTGTGCAAGGGCTGTGGATAATTTTATAGAAAGTAGGTTAACTGATTTTCCAGCACTTTCTAGTTACACTGGAATATAGTGATCCCTTCCAAAAACAGGAAGAAACGAAGAAATCACTCCACCATATTTTTAAAGAGCAAATTGAAAGTACAGCAGTGACTTAGGGAGCACCCTTCCCTCTTCAGGACTTTACTGCCTGACTTTGAACTCTGCCGGTACTGAAGTGGCTGCGGGGAGGGAGTGTGCCTGCCGTTTCTTGCAGCGAATTCGCCGAGGGTCTTAAGCCCCAGAGATGAAGCCATGGGAAAGATCGCTGGTTCATTTTTTACCACCAAGTTATTAGCGTTCGGGGAGTGACTTCAGCTCAAGTATTACAAATATGCTCTAATTATATTCAATGAGCTCTATATCACTAGAGATTGCTGACAGCCCTTTGTAGGGCATTTTATGACGTTCAGACTGAATATTTTTAGCAATGTGGAGATTTAAAAGTAAAAATATAAGAGATATTGTATCTGTCCTAAGGTATATTTTGTCTTAAATATTATCCTTGGCCAAGTGTACTATATAAATACAGTAAATACGAATAGAACTGGCCATTTGCCAATCTCCTGGGATGAATTTTAGTCAAGAAGGTATTTATGGGATATAAATGATACTGTGTCAACATTTAAAGAAGGAGTCTGATTAGTTTTGCATTTATTCATATTGATCTTTTCACGTGCTGTTAGTTTAAGGCTCAAAGTGGGGTTATGCTAAGGTTTACCGACAGTTTGCCCAGTGGGGATTAGTGGACTTCTAGTCCTTTTGACAATCCACTTGAAGTTCAAGGCACATCTATTCAAAAGACTCTGCACAAGCCTTTAGAATTTTTTTAGAAAGAGTGATTACATTAAGTACAGTAAGAATCGAAGTAATTGACAATTAAGATCTGTGGTTGCTTGAACAATCAAAAAAAAGGAAGAGAGAAAAACTTTGTTTTCTTTTTATTTTGCCCCTTCCCCTGGGAGGGGGGGCATTTGACAATGTCTGAAGACATGTTTCTTTGTCCTGACTTGGGGTGGAGGGGTGCTGTTGGCATTAAGCAAGTAGAGGCCAGAGATGCTGTTACCCATCCTATAATGCACAGACAGCCCCCTGGCCCCACTAAAGAAAAAGAATCATCTGGCCCAAAACATCAGTAGTGCCCACACTGAGAAGCCTTAGTAGTCCTGGTATTTGTTTTGGGTTGTTGAGTTCTGCTAGTTGTACCATTTTAAAAGTAATAACTTTAAAATATCTTTATGATCAAAGGACATTGAAAAAAGAGCCTGGAACAGGGGGATGATCAGAAATAGTTATCTTAAGTGAGTGAGAGTATAAATTAGACCATTTTTATCATATATACTTTATTTTTGTGACCTGAAAGCACCTACCTGGGAGGCATCAAAATCTGCCATTCATTTAGCCTAAGTAACGTGGGCCCGCCCACTAGCAGCCCCGGTCAGCGCCAGGGTGGTGTTACTCAGAACAAGGGGAAAAGAAGTGAGGAGTTATCGTGGGTTTTCACTGCAAGGAAAATAAGCAGCTCGTGTTAATGAAGAGTGGAATCTCCAAGCCAGGCAAACGAAGAAAATAACTAACCACGTTGGTTTATTCTGTCCTATGGAATGAGATAAACTGAAATACACAGCCTGCAGAATCACAATGAGGTTTCCTTGGTAATAGTTTCACAAGAATGTCAAACATTCACTATCAAGCAATCTTGTTTTCTATCTCCACCGTGATTTTCCAAGTGAAATTGCGGGCTGCGGGGCAATACGAGTAACACCATGGCTCTGAGGAGTGTGACTTGGCATTCTGTTCAGGAATATGACTTTCTGTATATAAGTGGCTGGTCTACTGGCCAGTTGCCCGATGAAGGAAAATATGCATCAGCAATTGCTAGGACATAAGTAGCATTTTTGGTTTATGTTCAGGAATTCTATGTTTTAATATTCTTTCTCTGGGTTCTTGTGTGCGTGTGTGCATGTGTGCGTGTGTGCGTGTGTGCGTGTGTGTGTGTGAGATATCTCAGCAGACAAACAGCACTGAACCCTTTAACTTCCTGAGTGATTGTTAATACACACAGATCAAGCTTTAATTCCCCCATTCTTATTGCATCATTGCCTGTACTAACACTAGTGGCTAATTGTGGTTACATTTAAATTAGGCCACATTCTCCCCCTTTCAGGATTTCCTCTTTTCTTTCTTCTACTTTTCAAAGACTAAAAACAACCCTGAGGGAAATGCACTGTTTATAAGTGAAGCAGTTGGGCAGTGTTTGCTGCCAAGGGCAGCCAGCCTGCTCCAAGCCCCGCGGAAGGAGGCTGGGCTTTGCAAAGCGCCGAGGCAGGTGGTGACCAGTTGATCTCTCAGAGGGAATGGGGGAGCCTCAGAGCCTCCACAGCGACCCCTGTGGTCCCCTCAAGGAGCTGCATCTTTTGATTTACGACTCCTTGGAAAAAAGATGCTGATGTAACCTAGTCGCAGCTTCTTTGATATAAAGATACTAAAGAATGACAGATCATTTTTCCTAGCGGAAAAAGGGATATGAAAAAGGGCTCATGAATCACTGTTGATCCCACATCGAATCTGGGTTAGAACCCAGGAGGTCACTGACTCCCAGGCCTTTGCCCAGAGATTACAACACACCAAAGCTGCACTTCTACAGGGTTAGGGAAATACAGTGGAGCGGCCATGTGGGGGAGCCTGGCCGTCGG